CTGTTCGGGAAAAGATTTTCTAAGATTTCTTTTGTTCTTTTTTAAAGAATGACTGTCACTTCCGAACGTAATAAGTGAACAATCCCTTCCAGCAATCTCAGAAACTCTCTTAAATCTTAATTGGAAATTAAAGTTGAAATATTGGCAAATAAATTTTCGGCAACAATCTTTGGATGCTAATAATTCATTGACCTTTTGAGAATTAATTCAATTTTCGAAGATAAGTTTTCTTTTAAGGGTTCAGATTCATCTTAAAATAATTTTCAAAGATTAATAAATTTGTACTTTAATAAGAAAATTGAAATTAAAATGTAGAGAAATTAAGGGTTGTATTAGAAAGTTTTGGAAGATCTTAATATTATGTTAGAAGTAAGACTAAAGGAAGGACTTGATGTTTTAATTTTAGACAGCCGAAGAAATCGATAATAATATCAGCTACTCATAAGTAAAAGAATTATAGATTACGAACAATAATCAATCATTTTTGATCAATTTTGATCAATTTGACGCCTTTGAAGAAAACTTTGCATCAAGTTCGGTAGTTTTGCTACTTAAGGGTTATGAAATTGGCGCCACTAGAGTGTTTATATTAAGAATATTCCTAGAATCAGGACAAACCTACTTGTCAGCGACTTGAATATCTTCATATAATTCATTTTCTGAACAGATTATCAGCTTGGATCATAATTGATCAATAATTGTTGGCAGCAAGATTAATATATAACAATAAACACGACTTCTCTATATCGGAAGTGCACAATATGTTTCAAATCCACAATCTTATTTAACACACATTGGCATCTCGATATATGTGTCAAATGTTTCAGATTTTATGTCAAAATATATCAATTATCATGACAACTAAATGTAAAATCTCAAAAAGTGTGTTAAGAGTTTTTCGTTCCGAAAATTTCGCACGTGCAGAATTTATTGAGCCAATTTTCATCAGAGATATAAACAAAAAGATAGAAAGTGAATTTTCTACAAATAGTCAGAGGCAGGAATTCAATGAAAATATTTTGATATTAACCTTAATCGACTCTCAATCCAGATGTTAATAAATTTGAACAAATGAAAAATAGAAGCGTGGAAAATTGATTAATTTTCGCAGTACAAGCAAATTTGGTTAATATTTCACCGTGAATTATTTACATAAAATCAGCAATTTTAAATTATGATCTTCTTGTATTACTGCTTTATGAACAAACAGGTGTGTCATATCAAACATTTGTTTAAATTTTTAAAGTAAATTTGTCATCACTTTTACAATATTTGTGTATATTTTGATTGTTTTTACAATTATTTGATTTTCTTTTTCTGGAAAGTGTGCCGATTTTTTCTGCAATTTTCAAGGTTAGACTCTATTTTAAACTAATTGTGGTAAAGAAAATTCAAAATTCAAAGTTCATTTTTAATGTTTAAAATCAAGAGCGTTTAACTGATCGTTCAAATTTGACTAATTTGATTCTTTTTTGATCAACTTTTATAAATTTTAATCATTATATGATCAGTTCCGCACACTTTTTATGAATTATTTTGTATTCTATAATTTATGAATGCCATTTCAAACTTTCCCATTTCTATTTCTAAATTAAATCAGATCTACCTTCATAATTGTAAAGATCAAACTATTGATAATCTATTAATAACCATCAAACATAAGGTATATAGTTAATAACCTTTTGACTCCACCACGTGTTGAATTTCCCACAAATCTCATAAATTTCTTCGTTCCTCAATCCACACAGTTCCTTTGATGCTTACTAATTCTTTAATATTTTTACATAATCTTCATTTGATCTTTCTGTCAATTTTTTTTTCAACTTAATATCTTCAAAAGGAATTTTTTCAGCTTTTTGTGAGTCACTTAAAAATAATTGAATGTCAGATATTTTTATTTTTGACAATAAGTCCCCTGAAGTCTTATCAATCCTTACACAAAAAAAATGAAATAAACCAAAAAGTCGTAATTGAAAATTTATTGCTAATTAAAACAGATTGTAAATCACTGTCGATAAGCAATTCTCGGTAATTTCTTTACCGTATTTTCCTTAGGAAACAATGCGCTTATAGGTCAATTTTGACTGGCTGGCTGGCAGCCCGTTTTTCTCAGAACTGAAAGGAACTTACAGACTTCTAGTTTTTTGAGTTCGCTAGCTTTAATTAATAAGATTTAATCATTTTTTGACTGAATTATGCGAGGAAAATTCGCTTAGTTCGTGAGTTCAAATCTGTAACGGCGACTTCTTTACTAGTTTTTTTTTTCAAATAAGTAAACGTGACAATATTGATCCCACAACATTTAGTACGTGAAGATTAACGCAGTCTTATCGAAATCAAGATTTTTTGTGCTGACAAGAAAAATCTCTCGTTTGCAGCAAATTATGAGCTTCTACATGATGATAATCAATAAAGAAAATGATGATAAGCCAAAAAAAAGTGTGATGACAAAATGTCTGAAATAACAATTATTAATGATTTATTGATCCCTAATAACTGAGACTATTACTTAATAATAGACATCAATAAATCTATAATTGTCTTTTTAAATTGTCAATTAAGCGGTTCGATTACAATTTGTTGATATGTCTTTGACACATTTTTATCGCTTCTTGTGGCTACAGACGGCGCTTTTTTTACAATCATCTTGCTGTTATTTTTATGATATCAATTAAATTTATGTCAATAAACTAACTGAAATGACATTTTTTGATTTTCTCTATTTCTCTTCTATTCGCACATCCACAACCTCACACACTCATCGTCAAACAAGTCAATGTAAGAGAAATGACGATACAATGACGTAAGAGCTGTTATTCGCGAATTCTTTTTCATCATGTCTTTCGGTTAGAGAACGCCAGTAATGAAAAGATTTTGTTGTCAATCGGTTTGTAGTCAACTCGTTAAGTATTAACAGAGTCGCGCTTAATTTTTCATTGTTTTTCTGGTAAATAATCGACGCGAGACAAAATAGGAAGAAAATGTGATAAAAGGAATCAGTTTTCTTTTTAAACAAACTTTCCTATTTTTTTGTTTTTCCTTTAATCTTATCGGAACTTATATCAGACTTCGCACACCTCGTAGCATCTGGTTCTGTGACTTGAATACATTTTTAATCAGTCTGTCTTTGACTGTTTATTTGTTTTGTTTCTTTGAGTCAACTTTGAGTAAATTGAATTTTGTTGCTGACGATCGAGGAATTCTTTTATTTTTGTTGAAAATGGATAGGATGTGGCTGGTCTAAAAGAAATTATCTATTTTATTCTATAAAAATAAACTTAAATAAAAATTTATTTTTGATTGAATTGTGATTTAAATGCTGGATGTCTTAAAATATTAGCTAAATATGTGTCACAAAAGAAAGTTTCATCATCCACAGATGTGCTGAAGTTCCTCACACCTTGACACTTAAATAAAGTATATTCACGATATGTGCCAAACATCTTGACTATATATTAATGATCAGACGAAGATTTACAAACCTGTTTTTACCGGTGGGTCAACAAATTTCCCCTTATTCTAGTTTTGACATCTAAAAGTATTTTAAAACTAATCAAAATTTAAATTTTTTGCTTGTTAAAATAAAGACTTTAAGCTTCTAATAATGCCTGTAGACAGTGTACATTAGATTAGTCAAACAGTCAAATGTTTGTATTGGCAAGCATCCAAGAAAGTGTGAATGTTTTGAAAAATATTAGAATGTAAATAGCTACTGAAATTGATAAAAATATCACGTTCTAAGGACGTTAAGCAGGTTTTAATAATTTATGGTAAAAAATTTGCCGACTATTGTTATTTAGATTCGTTTGGTAGTGTTGATAGTAATATATGGATGTATAAAGTCATAATAAGATAGACGCGTCTTCAGAACAGAGAGTTGAAATATTCTATTCAAAAAAAACTTATTAAATATAAGAAATTTTCTCGTCGAAGGGTTTTGAATCCAACTCTAACCGTTCCTACTCTTGGATACACTTTTCTAGTAAGAAATTGATCTCAAAAGAAATTGGTGAACTAAACAGAAGTCATATCATCTTTGTGGGAAGCTCATTGCTTTGAAGACCTCAACAAAACACCGTGAAAAGTTTAGAAATGATCATAAAAACTTCAATTAAAATATTTTATTGCATATTGGGGTGTAATATTTTCTTTAAATATTTACACAAACCAGTCGAATAGACTTCATTGTCTGCCTTGTATAATAATAAATCTTAAGTTGAAGCTCAAATGGCTCATAAATTTTAATAAGTGAATTTGAATGATTTTTACTCACTAAAAGTTAAAAATCTTTTGAGGATTCTACGGCTCCATGCAGTCTATGGAAATTGTAACAATTATTCAAATTGAAGTTTTTATCTACTTTTGTTACTGCCTCATGAATTAAATGAATTGTGTTGACAATGAAAAATTATGATGTTTGCTGTTGATTGTAATCTTTAAGACGCTCAGTCTACAACTCACAGTTTAAAATTAAAGCTTCATTGCTGTTTATTTTAAATTTTAATTTAAAAGAATCAATAAAATGTCAGCAATTGCCTTCTTTAGAGAGTTTGAACCAAAGATCGAACTCAACACAATTCTCACCTAGCTTCATCTAGTCTCTGCCTAGTCAATTTTAACCTCTGAATTAAATTTTTGGAAAGGTTATTAATGTTTATGCAGCAATATATATAAACAAAAGTCAGACTGCGTCTTTTGAAGTATATGAAATGTTATCATTCAATTTCAGACTTGCACAGATAAGGATAGGGTTTCTAGTGTGAGTTGATCGAATAGTTTTTAACTTAAATCCAACTTAAATTAAAATGATTTATTTTCTATCCTAGTCACATAATCTTCATACAAATTACTTCCAATCGCCAATATTTTGTCAATTCCATCTTCAACTTATTATTCCTACATTTTAGAAACCCTAGAATACTATTTATCTAACTTATACTTTGTTATTGTGATTTAAATGAAAAAGTTGTGTATAAAAGTCAGCGCACGATTCATTCACTGTCAGTTTTCATTTCTGTGTAGTACGTTTGAGGTGAAGTTGAAAGCTAAACTGAAAAGCTTAAAAGCAATCTAGACTTTTCTTATTGTATAGATATAAAAGATTTATCTGATGATTGAAGTAAACAGAACAATCGTTTATATCATAGTCTTCCTCCATAAGTTCCTCACAGCTTCTGAATTCTTTTAATTACTATTACGCATTTTACTTATTGATTTCTAAAAGCAAAGCCTTGAATTCACTTCGAGGCAATTCGAGAATTTTTATTTAATTTATCGAGAATCATGGATGATAAACTAACTTCAACATCGCTTGATTTTACATCGAGTTCTGAGAAAGGAAGTAGAAATTCATTACCACATGAGCCAAATTCATCATCGACAACGCAATTGGTTGTGGAACGAACCAACTGGAGTAGACCAATTGAATTTATTCTTTCTTGTTTGAGGTGAGTTTTAAGAAGATTTAAAGTGCAACTATTCAATACAGTGTCAGTGTAAGGATGCAACAAGACATATTCTCTGGTGTGATTTTTAAGAGCAGGCAGAAGAATGATGTGAAAAAATAAAATGACATTTTATGGCTCACTTATGACGTCCATAAAAAACATGTTTTCTAGACCCCCCCCCCCTCACTCTGTCACAAAATTTCTGTAGAAAAAATTTCCTCTATTTGAGCTGTCACAAAATTCTAGACCCCCCCCCCTAAATGTTGGACGTCATAAGTGAACGGCCCCATTCCTCAAATGAAAAATTCTGTAGACGTAAATGATAATCACACTTTGGCACACCTTAGTTCAGGTTATTGCCATTCTTTACTTTGTTGTAGACAACTGGTTTCTTTAGTAGCTTGGAACTTGACATATTTTGACACAATATAACAATACAACTTAACTTTTAAACACCGCCCTCCCGTCATGAGTTTTAACTTGAAATTTTATCAGGAATTTAGAATTGAAATATTGATTTATTAGCAGTGCTCAAACAATTTCAATTATATAGGATTAAGTTACGATAAAGTTGTATAATTAAATCATTTTGACATATCTAGGTCCAGTTTTCAGGATTACATAAGATCTTAGACTGTAATTAAATTTGATTAAAAAATGGGAGGTCAGTACAGTACCCCAGCACCCACAGAAATCAGCCCCTAAGATTTTGTAAAATAATAAAGTCATTAACCGCAGTACAAATAAATGTAGCCGACAAGTGTTTTGTAATAAATAATCAATTATTTGCCGAACAAGTTATCGTTCAATCTGCCCACTTTCTCGAGCATCTTTAAATCCAACTCGTGTACGAAAACACTCGCCAGATTGCTTTTTTATAGAAAGAAAAACAAATCATAAAGCCATAAAGCCATAAATGAATTTTGAAAACAAACAAGGATATCAAGACACTTGTTGCAAAATTAAATAAAAATTACAAAATAATATTTTTCTTATTTCTCAGTTATGCAATCGGACTTGGAAATATCTGGCGCTTTCCGTTTTTAGCATTTAGGTAAATATTTTGAGATGTCCCCCGACTGTTACATGTTAGAATTGAGTTCATATGGCAGCCATGAAAATGGTACTTGGTTCTAATCCACAGTATGTGTAATGGTCAGGATCATTATTAGTTCAATCATTAGATTAAGTTTCTTCCATTTCTGCATTTAGAAATGGCGGTGGAGCATTCCTGCTACCCTACCTCTTGTCAGCAATCTTCATCGGACTTCCAATCTTATTTGCAGAGTTCGTTGTAGGTCAATACAGTGGCTTAGGACCGATAAAAGCTTATAGCTTCCTTTCTCCACTTTTCAAAGGTAAGAACATGGATTTACCCTTAATCACTTAATGTGTCTGGGTATAAATTAATAACACAAAACCTTATCAGTTCCAATAGCTGCGCAAAACAAAGTAATCAAAAAATATTTTGTTTTATTCCTAGGATTAGGCTATTCAGCACTACTTGTGATAACATTTGTATCGATTTACTATATGTTGATAATCGCTTGGGTTCTATTTTATCTGTATACTTCATTTTTCCCAAGTTTAACATGGGGCAGATGCGATAACGATTGGAATACTGAGAGTGAGTTATAAGCGTGCCAAATATAAAGAAGATTAATGTACATGATAAAATTTTGTTTACATTAGACTGCTACAGTGTATTAGAGGACATAAATTGCCGTACGAATAACATGAACAATGAAGATGATCAAATTTTTTATCGTGGACAATGTAGACGTGTTGCTGATGTATGTGCTGGTTATGGACTTTTAGGAGCTAACGTTACTAACTGTTTTAACTCAACAGTAAATGAAAATGTTCCAATCCATAGCATTATAAGGCGTACATTGTCGTCAGAAGAGTTTTATTAGTAAGTAAAGCTTTTCAGTTTCCTAGCTTTATATTTTGCAGAGTTTATTTATAATTTCTTGAATATTCGGGAATTTCCATATCTGATTTTAATCAAAATACTATTTAATCCCATTGATCCTCAAAATAAACACTTTAATTAAATTTTAATATTTTCAGTGAGAATGTGTTGGGTCTTGGTGATGCGACTTGGACTAATTTTGGATGGCCAAGGTGGCAACTTGTTGTATGTCTGTTGATTGGTTGGGCTTTGGTCTACTTGTGCTTGATAAAAGGAATTCATTCTATTGGAAAAGTAGCTTACTTTACTGCAACATTCCCATATTTTGTACTGACAGCATTACTCATCCGGTCTTTGACATTGCCTGGATCCTATGATGGAATACGCTTCTTCATAATTCCTGACTGGCAGAAGCTTTTAAGTCCGGGAGTTTGGGGAGATGCTAGCAGTCAAATATTTTATTCCCTTGGACTTGCATGTGGTTCACTAGTTGCTTTATCGTCATATAATAAGGTGAGAACTAATGATATACTTTTGTACTGAATAGCACATGCTTATCTTATCATTATTTATAGTTTAAAAACAATTGTCATTTTGATGCAATATTTATATCGATTGTGAATTTTGGAACAGCTATTTTTGGAGGATTTGTAGTCTTTGCGACTCTTGGATTCTTGTCACATTCAATGCAGGAACCGATTGAAACAATTGTGACTAGTGGACCTGGATTGACATTCATCACATATCCTGAGGCTATTCTCCTAATGCCAGGGTCTCAAGCATGGGCGATTTTATTCTTCCTGATGATGTTAACCTTAGGATTAGGCTCACAATTTCCAGGCGTCCAAATGATATCAACATCCATCATCGATCGTTGGGCACATCTTCGTAACCAAGAATGGAAAGTTACAGCTGGTGTCTGTATGGGTTGTTTTGTTGCTGGACTTCCAATGACTTGCAATGGTGGAGTTTACCTATTCACGTTACTGGAATGGCATACAGCAAGTTGGGCAATCCTCCTAATTGGTGCTGGTGAAGTTGTCATCTTCTCATGGGTCTACGGACTTGGAAGAACTTTCGACAGCATTTGTGAAATGGGAATAAAGTTCGTAAAAGCTACTAGACTGTTCTGGTCATCAGTTTGGATGGTCATTACTCCAATCGGTTCTGTTGGAATTTTCATCTTCATTTTAACTGATCTTGGCTCAACAAAATTCCGTGACTATGTATTCCCAGTATGGGCTGATACATTAGGTTGGATGTTCGGTTTATCAACATTACTTCCATTCGTGCTGTTTGGTGCTTATACTTTGGTTACGACAAAGGATCGCAAGTCACTATTGCAGCCAACTGAAGATTGGGGACCTCAAGAAGTTGATGGACAGAGGGTTGATAGAGGATTGACTATTTAACAGTTATTGCAAACAATAGTATTCAAAAGTCATTATAATTGACTCAAAGATATTAAAGATATAGATTTTATATAAAGTAAGATTGTAGCATTCCGAATTGTATACACAACTCTAGCAATGAGAATAAAATAGAACGTTCTGTTATGAAACATTCCTGAACTATACTGTAAATTATATAAATTTAAATTCAGTCTCGTGCACAGAATTTTATTGAATTTTATAAAAAAAGTCCAAGATGCAATCAATAATATTTGATATAATGTCAGAACTCAATGTGGCTACAATTGCTTGATTCTGTTAGGTAAAATTGTTGCTTTATTGAGAAATTGAATCTATTCCAGAAATTTTCATACTCAAAAATAGAATGGAAGTAAGAACAAAGTTTGATGAACCTTCTAATTAATAATAATTACCAAAAGGACTGTTAAACAATTATTATTCATCCTCGCCATTTATTAGACATTCCTAAGAGCTCTTTTCTATTTCCAGAACAAGCCAATTTCATTTAAAATCAAAACAAAATCGATAAAAATAGAAGAAAATTGAACAAAAAGTATTTTTCGCTTGATTTTTCTCATGAATGAAATTTCTTTTTAAGTTGCTATGAGCTTTAAGCATACACAATGTGGGCATATATCAATCTACTTGTTATGTTTGTTTGTGAAGCGAATCTGATTTGATCTTTAAATTGTTATGGTTTATCGGAATTCTTTTATGCCCTAAGGTTTTTTAGGGAACTTTTAACATTTTAAGAGTCATTAAACTTAATACTTTGCAAATTGAGGTTCCCTAACGTTTGTTCAAGACCAAAGATTCTCAAAAAGAATTGAAACTTGGTGAAAACTTTAGCTTCGTTCTCAAAACAACAAGCATCACTGAAAAGTCACTTAACTTCATCATCCTATGCTGTACGACTAAATCTTAAGACTCACAGCAGCTTGTTGTTTTAAAATATTGCCGGTGGCTGTTTTCTTCTGCTCTACGTGATTTGTTTATTGTTTCTCGATAAATAATTAATCATATTAAGTTTCAGTGTTTAAAACAACACAAGTGACATTTACGCCAACTCACAAAAAAATTAGAATTCATGTCATTTATCAAAATTTTGAGATGCAAAGATAAAGAAGAGATTTTTAAAATTGTTCGTGAAAGTTTGACAAGTTTTTAATCCCAAAAGGTCAAAAACAGATAGAGTAATGGACTTTTAGTGGGTAAACAAGATCAGAAGCTTGTTGGTTGAGGATAGCAAATTGCTTTTTGAAAAAAAAGTTCGACTTTTGTCATTTAAATCTTTTTTGCTGCTATTTATTGGGCTTACTCAGGAATGAAATGATGCTTAAATCATAAAAAGTTTATTTGACATTTGAAATTCGAATTTTAGTAGGTTTATGATTTTTTTAAGATTCATTTTTTCCCGAAAGGAATTCCGTCTAGAATCTAAATTCTGATACATTGAGATGCATTAGAGTAGTGGGAGATTAATGCTAGTTCCTTTTAATTACTAACCTTTTATGATTTATGTTTAATTTTTTCCCGAAAGGAATTCCGTCTAGAATCTAAATTCTGATACATTGAGATGCATTAGAGTAGTGGGAGATTAATGCTAGTTCCTTTTAATTACTAACCTTTTTCTCGATTCCTAATGAGCAAAAGATCCAATTGAAGACTCAAATCCAATTTTCCATTTTGTGTGGCTCGAGCATAAATGCAAGATAACAAGCTGCAATTAAAGATCAAAATTTAATAAGTTTTTAATGTTTGAACATCAACATTTTTATTTCAAAAGAAGCTCTCTTTGAACCAAATGTGTGTCCAAAAATTCACGACATAATAAGAAAACTTCTACTGCCAACTTTCATTTAATCATTTATTAATAAAAAACTGAATTTTAAATTGAACATTGTGTTCATTGTTCGAATATTTTAAATATATTATGCAAAATTCGATTCAGTTATTTTACGAAAAATTTATTTGCTCAATTGTTAACATTTAGAGATTTATGCTGCATAAATACGAATTCAAACGTTTGGTCACGTAATTCCAGAATATCAGGCATGACAACGTTTGGATTAAAAATTCATGCTGTGCATATTCCTTACTATACCATATCAAGTTTCATCTTTTCCATGAGAAATGACTAATGTTCTCTCCCCTTTCATCCACAAATACATTTCGTTCTTATTAAAATATTTTTTAAATTTTGTTCGTCTATTGCATCGCACACTCAGTTTTTTTTTGTAGGCATTTTTTTTGTTGTAAAGTGGAAGAAAAAAAGCAGAAATGTGTATATAAGACAGCGCGCAGTTCATATTCAGTTAGTTGAAATTTTTGTGTAGTTCGATAAAGGTTGATGTGAAAAACTTCGTCCATAAACAATTTAATTGTGCATCATATCTGATGATTGAAGAATACGGAAAAACTTTCATCATTTATTTCATCGTTTTCCTCCACAAGTTCCTCACAGCTTCTGAGTTCTTCTAGCGATTTATAAACAAGCCTTTTTGTTGGTTTCTGATAATAAAGCCTTGAAAATTCTCGGCACTATATAAAAAATTTCATTGAATATGACAGGAAACATGGAAGATAAATTGAAATCATCACCGTTGTATTTCCCAGTTGCTGATAAAGATACCAGAACTTCTATTCCTCGTGACTCGTCGTCAGCTAATTTGATCCAGAAAAGAAATAATTGGAGTCGTCCAATTGAGTTTATTCTGTCGTGTTTAAGGTATGGAAATTAAAAATGAACAAAATCCATGAAATTTGCATGCTTAGCAGTGTTTATTATTTGAAAATAAACTGTTATGCATGCAAAAATTCAGGAATTTGCAGCTACTGTGAGAATTTTTCATTTTTCCAAGGAACTTAATTCAGCATATTGAAAGAAAATATTTCTAATGATTCACTCACACGTGTTTTTTTGCGTCATAGAAGATATGATGAAATTTTAGTGCTGTATTACTTAGTTTTTTCTCTATGTTGTATGTGCATAACTACCACAACTAAAGCTTTTTTTTGTGATGAGTAGTTTATTTGCCATAGCTACGACTATACATACGTATAGTAAGAAGAATTACCGTATCTATTATTGACCGGTTAAGTGATTTTCTTTGATTTTTTTTCGTGAATTTCTAAAAAATATGAAATTTATTTTGAGGGTCATTTGCTTAGTTGCGTAGCAAATGTGTTTGTGGGAATTGATATTTTCGCCTTTTTCAAGGAATTAATTCCATCCCTTTGTATCGGATTTTTGGTCATTATTTGTAAATGAATGACCCCCCCCCCCCCCCCTTCGCTCGATGTTAAGCCTTAGAATTCCCTTATAATAATCGATAGTAATGTCAAAAATAGACTGATTATTGCTTGACATTAGCTTTAATTATTCTTAAAATTTAATAATATTTATCAATTATTTTTACAGCTATGCGATTGGACTTGGAAATATTTGGCGGTTTCCGTTTCTTGCATTTAGGTATGTTATGGCTTCTTACCTCTAGCTTATAAAGAACAATCCCGAATAGCACAAGTCGGCGCGAGGTTTCAATTTAAACCTAGCACTATGCCCACATTACTATGGTATGGTTCTGGCTTCAAATTAAATCGAGCACCATGCCAGAGTCACACAGGCTTGGTATCGGATTTCTGATCGATTACTTTCTGATCGATTATCCGTACTTGACAATTTAAAGAATCATCAAAGGACATGATTGTAGCTACTAGGGATGATTCTAGTAGAAATAAAAAAACAACTTATAACAGTTTTGCAATTTGTCATCTTATTTTCACAGAAATGGAGGTGGAGCGTTCCTCATACCCTATCTGCTGTCTGCAATCTTCATCGGAATGCCAATTTTATTTGCGGAACTGATTGTAGGACAATACAGTGGATTGGGACCAATAAAAGCTTATGAGTTTCTTGCTCCATTGTTTAAAGGTAAGGTGATTTTAAGGGTCGTTTATAAATGACGTATTTCTATAAATTGGATTATTAGATCCGCTTTCCGCTCCTTCATGCAAAGGGAGAGCTCTTTCCTCGACAAACTTAGACATCATTTATAAACGAACCCTCTACAAAGTTACTCAATAACCCAAAGCTTAGGATTATACTAACCTCAATATATAACATTTAAATCTCACAGGACTAGGCTACTCCACCCTGATTGTCATCACATTCGTTTCAATCTACTATATGCTGATAATTGCATGGGTGCTCTTTTATCTCTATACCTCATTCTTTCCGAGCATGACATGGGGGAGATGTGATAACGAATGGAACACAGAAAATTGCTACAGTATATTAGAAGATGTCAAATGCCGTGATTATAACGTCGGAAATGATAGTGACAAAATATTTTATCGTGGACAATGCAGGAATGTCAGTGATATTTGCAAATCTATTGGACTTGTCGGAATTAATGCTACTCATTGTTTTAATTCAACAATCAGTGAGAACATTCCAATTTATAGAATTATTAACCGCACTCTATCGTCTGAGGAATTTTATTAGTAAGTATTAAAATTTGAAGCAATTAGTACTTAATGAGAATTTTCTAGTTGGGTGAATCCAATAAATCTCAATTATAAAGTTTCGATGATAATTGAAATTTTAATGGACTGTGACTTATTTGACCCAGTCAATCTTAATTGATCAAACAAATTAAATTTATTATGCAAATTTCACAGTGAGAATGTTCTTGGGCTGAGTGATGCATCATGGGAAAATTGGGGATGGCCACGATGGCAGCTTGTGCTTTGTTTCCTCATCGGCTGGATAATGGTCTACTTATGCCTTGCCAAAGGAATTCATTCAATTGGAAAAGTTGCATACTTTACATCAACATTCCCGTACTTAGTATTAGCAGCTCTGTTTGTCCGTGCTTTGACATTGCCTGGATCTTATGAAGGAATTCTTTTTTACATCATTCCTGACTGGGAGAAGCTTCTAAGTCCTGGAGTATGGGGAGACGCGAGCAGTCAAATATTTTACTCTCTTGGACTTGGATGTGGATCACTTGTTGCACTTTCTTCGTACAGTAAGGTGAGAATTAACATACAACTTAGCTAAGCTATGGTTTTTAAAATCATAAATAATATTTTTACAGTTCAACAACAACTGTCATTATGACTCAATATTCATATCAATTGTTAGCTTTGCTACCGCATTGTTTGGAGGATTTGTAGTATTTGCGACTCTTGGGTTCTTAGCTCATTCAATGCAGGAACCGATTGAAACAATTGTGACTAGTGGACCTGGATTGACATTCATCACATATCCTGAAGCTATTCTACTAATGCCAGGTTCTCAAGCATGGGCAATTTTGTTCTTCTTGATGATGTTAACCTTAGGATTAGGCTCACAATTTCCAGGCGTTCAAATGATATCAACATCCATCATCGACCACTGGCCACATTTGAGGAATCAGGAATGGAAAGTGACAGCTGGTGTCTGCATGGGTTGTTTTGTTGCTGGACTTCCAATGACTTGCAAAGGTGGCATTTATCTTTTCACATTAATGGAATGGCATACAGCAAGTTGGGCAATCCTCCTAATTGGTGCTGGTGAAGTTGTCATCTTCTCATGGGTCTACGGAATGGAACGAACATACGACAGCATCTGTGAAATGGGAATGAAATTCTGTAAAGCTACAAAATTCTTCTGGTCATCAGTTTGGATGGTCATTACTCCAATCGGTTCTGTTGGAATTTTCATCTTCATTTTAACTGATCTTGGCTCAACAAAATTCCGTGACTATGTATTCCCAGTATGGGCTGATACATTAGGTTGGATGTTTGGATTATCAACACTCCTTCCATTTGTGTTGTTTGGTGCTTATTCGTGGATTAGGACAAAGGATCGAAAATTATTGTTGGAGCCAGCAGAAAATTGGGGACCACAAGAAGTTGATGGACAGAGGGTTGATAGAGGATTAGTCTTACCTTAAATAATTAATTTTATATTCCAAATAAATCTTAAACAATTAAATAAATTTTTTTAAGTATTCCAATTTTGTATTAATAGTTTTCAGTCCTACCCCAGTTATCCTTAGTTTTCCTTTTGTCGATTTCCAAGGAACAACCTCAAATAAAATAAATCCATTGACTTTATCGAAATCTTGTTCAACTCCTATACTTTAAAATGAAATTTTCCACTTATTCTAAAACTTTCTGCTATGCCTGTTTACATTTTGGTTCTGTTAAAATCAAACGTTTGACATTTTTTGGTTAATGCTAGAAACTAGATTTCGATTGTTATCAATTTTCAGATTTTTTTCTCGTTATCTTAAGCTCTTGTTCAATTTATCTATTGATATAAATCATCGGCACAATGTCAAATTTAAATAGTTCTAGTCGAAGTGTGGTAGGTGTAGGTAGCAAAAAAGAGTCAACTCGGTGCTGATTTATTAAAGTGATTAAGATAAAAATAATATTAATTACCTGGAAAATATACAAATTAATTATCAGTGGATTTAATAGCTAAAAATGAAAAATAATTAAAAGTCTCAAACTTTTCGATCAAATTTATGACATTTAACAGTTGAGTCTGGCTCATGTGATTTAATTTAAGGAACTAAGGTTAAAAAAAAAAAATTATTAAAATGGAGAAAAAAAGTGTGAAATCTTATGACTTTCCTCCTGACCCAACAAGAACTGAGATAGGATTTGAAGGCATGTCAACTGAAGCTTCAGAAGGTCCATATAATGCTTCCAGTGATAAACAAATTAAGGACCGTGGAAATTGGTCAAATCCTGTTGAATTTATTTTATCGTGTATGAATTTTGCAATTGGATTGGGAAATGTTTGGCGGTATCCTTATCTTGCCTACAGGTATTTGTCAATTGATTTATTGCTCTTTTAATTCTTATGTGACGCAAAGTGAGGTAGAATGGAAAAATCAGTGAGGCAGTGTCTACAAAAAATTAAATCTAAGGTCGAATATAAAGTCACAAAAAAGAAGTTAATTCCTATATACTTGAGAGATTATTTTTAGATTAATGGCTTAAAAAGTGTTTTTTATGAATGCTTCTTACCCATTAACACTACTTTTCTGTTTGGGATCGTTCATAAATGACGTTACATCAAAACTGAGATTTTTAGAACCCATCCCAACTTGTGCAACAAAGAAAACTATCTTCAGTTCTAAAGTATAACCTATCTTGAACCCTCTTTACCTCCCTCAAAAATTGTCTATCATTTAAAAATGATCTGTTTATTTATCTAGAACGCAACGAAGCTTATCAGTTATATTGCAATCAATAATGTCACGTTAGATGGATTGTAAAATGCAATTTTCGGTATACAGTGTGGTTTATATTTCTATACTGTAATAGAATTTCTTAATGTTTCTCGAGTAGACTGAAAGCTAAAAGCTAACGAGGTCCAAAACTCTATTGTTCCTTAACTCCTAATTTCGGACTTTTTATTGATTCTAATGATGCTTTAGTGATTGAATCAGAAATTTTATCACCACAAAAAAATTGTGGACGCCCTTGAACCATCTCTCCCTAGTTTGCTTAAGGCGCCTTAACCTAGAGTCAAAAGTCTTCTGATTAATACAATTTTACATTGTTTAGAATACGGTCCCAATTATTTTTTGTTGCCCTAGAAATCGTCTCTTAGCTACGCTTCTACTGAGCTGGTTGGGGGTCGTCATCTTTCTGCTCTTACTATATGTAGCATCCCTGATTGCATCATATCTAACTTACATCAATTTAAAACTTTTATTTCTTTTCTAGAAACGGCGGTGGTGCTTTTTTGATTCCATATTTCTTGGCTGCAGTCTTCATAGGTCTTCCAATTTTCTTTGCTGAACTTGTGATTGGACAGTACAGTGGATTAGCTCCAATTAAAGCTTTTTCATTCTTAGCACCATTCTTCAGAGGTAAGTATTTAAAAGTTAATCAAGCTGCAACAATACCTAAAATCTTTAGTGGCTCAAAGAGCATTTAACAGAGTGCTCTCAAAATACTTAAAGCTACACAACCTTTACAGAAACAAAACATTTCACCACAGCACCAAAGTCTATATTCAACAGCCGCATACCGCAACTTTATATACCTTTCAGGTCTTATCATCCTATTGTTTATACTTTTTCGTCATCAATTGTCCTTATCACAAGATCCATAAATTTTTTGCGTTTTTCTCCTGTCAAAATTATCAATGAAGTTTTGCTCCGCGTCTGCCAGTTTTAAGTTCTTATCTGATAAAAGTTTGTCTCTTTTGATTTTCAGGACTCGGATATTGTACACTGATGGTCATCACGTTCATTGAAATTTATTATTTTGTAATTGTTGGTTGGTGTTTTTACTACTTTTACATATCATTGTTTCCAAGCTTAATATGGGGCACATGTGGAAATGATTGGAACAGTCCAAGTAAGAATGTTATGAACTTCATGCTTCAAACTTAATAACATAATTTAAATTATTTGTAGATTGCTATAACTTAATCGCTGATATTGCATGTCAAGAGGGCAATGAAGGAACTCCCGCTGATGAAATTTTCTTCCAAAATGATTGCCAATCAATTGATAGTATTTGTAGTCCAATGGGCTTGATCCCTGTGAATTCAAGTGGATGTTTAAATGGAACAGAATTCACACCGCTTAACAGAATCATCCACCGTGTTCTTTCGTCTGAGGAGTTCTTCTAGTAAGTATTTAATCTTTATTGCCAAAAATGCGCTTTAGTCACTAAGTTATTCTTACTTGACCACTAATTAAATTTTCCATTAACAGTGAGCGAGTTTTAGGTATCGGAGATGCAACGTGGTATAATTGGGGATATCCTCAATGGCAAAATGTAATTTGCTTATTTGTCGCATGGATGCTTTGTGCTTTAGCAGTTCTTAAAGGAGTCAAATCTGTTGGAAAAATCGTTTATTTTACAGCTACATTCCCATATTTCATTCTGACTGCCATCCTTATACGAGCTGTAACATTGCCAGGTTTTTATGATGGAATTATGTTCTATATCACACCTGACTGGAACAAATTGTTAAGTCCTGGTGTTTGGGGTGATGCCAGTAGTCAAATTTTCTACTCGTTTAGTTTGGCTTTGGGTTCATTGATTACTCTGGCGTCTTACAATAAGGTAAAGAATTAGAAATTTTAAGGTTATGTCCAATACTAAGACTGTCACTTCCAGTTCTCCAACAACTGTCATTTTGACGCGACAATAGTTTCCCTGATCAATTATTTGACTGCATTTTACAATGGATTTGCTGTGTTTGCGATTCTCGGGTTCCTGGCACATGAAATGAAGACAGATGTGTCTGAAGTTGCAAGTTCTGGTCCTGGGCTGTAAGTATATTTCCAAATAAATACTTAAAAATCTCAGCAATGTCTAGAAACTGAAAAGGATATCCAAAAGTTAATTATTAATTTCCTAATGTCCTTGAAATGTGTTTCAAACATTACATGCTTCTTATTGCCTTAAACATCCTTTATATTATTATTTTAAAGCAATTTCATTACATTTTAGGTCTTTTATAACCTTCCCCGAAGCGATTCTACTGATGCCTGCTCCACAAGTCTGGGCAATATTATTTTTCTTCATGATGATAATTCTTGGCTTGGGATCAACATTTGCTGGCGTGCAAATGATTATTACATCCATAATTGACCAATGGCCACATCTACGTAAGGATGAATGGAAAGTTGCAATCGGTGTTTGTCTCAGTGGGTTTATTCTTGGCATTCCAATGACTTGTCATGGTGGCATTTATTTATTCACTCTTATGGAATGGCATACAGCAAGTTGGGCCATTTTACTTATTGGCTTTGCGGAAGTTGTGATTCTTTCTTGGGTGAATGGCATGAAAAATACATTCAATTGGATTTCAGACATGGGAATAAAATTATGGAAATTGGTTCAATATTATTGGCGGTCTGTGTGGCTTGTCATCACTCCAATTTATACAGTTAGTGTATTTATCTTCATATTGACTGGCATTGAACCTACACAATTCCGTGGATATATATTTCCTGTATGGGCTGATGTGCTCGGCTGGATGTTTGGTCTATCAACATTACTTCCATTCATCATATTTGCAGCTATTGAAGTTTCTAAATCCAGAGATATTAATTACTTATTCAAGCCCACCAAAAATTGGGGTCCAGCTGAGGTTGATGGAAGGAGAATTGACAGAGCTTTAATGACGTAGTTTTTTTATGATTTTATGGATGATATTTTGTTTTAAAAATAAATGTATAATTATTGCTTTAGTAAGTGATGACCTTTAAATCTATGCAATAAAAATATTAAAACTGATTTAAAGCTTTATTGATATTTCTATGTCTGTAGTCATTCCAAAAGGCTGATTTAATATAATTATAATTTTTGTTCATAAAACTTCAACAATAATCGTCTATTGAATCTAAAATAGTCATTATGAGTTTGTACTTTCTTATTTCTTTAAAATTCGGATTTCCAACGAACATCATTTTTATAGGTGAAGCTAGAAGACTCAACAACCTCATTTTCTGATTGAATCCTGAATTTTAAAAATATTTTCTAAATACACCCCTTTCAATCATGTTATCAGCACTAAGTCTTATGACCACTAGATTACTTTCTGCATTGATACAAGCACCGATATCTTAAACAACAAGACTTTTCAGCTTTAACTGGTTTTGTACTCGAAAATACCTCAAAGCATTGCTTTGATATTTTAGGTGTGGATTTTCAAGAAATCCTTATTTTTAATGCCGCCCTTTTTCATTTTTATTCACTTGTTTTCTCAGGACTTTTGAGTGTTTTCTTGGTAAAGGAAACTTAGCAACTCATCAAAAGCAGCTAAAATTATGTTTTAAGTTCCACTTCTTCAATATTTGCATTTAAATGTTCAATCTTTTATCATGTCTTCAATTATGTGGAATCAAATTGCAATTAAAAACTTATCTTTTCGTTATCGATGCCGTCCATATCATAAGCTTGCTCTTAATTCACATTGGGTATAAAATCAGTGAAACAACAGTGGCAAAGAATATTTTTTTAAAAACTGTGGACAAGGTAAGAACCAAGAAGGACTGTAAAGTGATTTTAAAAAATAATTTGGACAAAGAAAATGCAATTTAAAATCCAATTCTTCTCAGAACAATGTTTTTTGAATAATAAATAAGAAGTGACCTTGAAGGCTATTCAAATAATAAATATTTCCTACAACTTTATGTTCTTCTTAACTTAGCTTCAAGTTAGGAGAAAAATAGAACCTTTGTGAATGAAAAAAGATATTTTGTTATTGAAAAATTGTGTCATTGGCTATGAATAAAATATATATATAAACTCAAGAACAGTGCAAAGAAGACTTGGGTCTTTAAACTTTTATAAAGGAATTTCATGAGCTTTGAATTTTAAAAATTTGATTTGATCCTTAAATTAATTGTGAAAATTGAGTGATTTTAAGTTAAACGTAAATGATTAAATTAAATTGAAAATATCTGCCACGCGTGCTGTTCCAAAATTAATTTTTTGTGCACAAAATAGGAAATTTCTTATCAGTGTTTCGATCAATGAAATTGGTGTGGAAATTTTTTTTTAATGCTAGACACGAGTAGAGTTTTAAAATGTTTAGAAATCTAGTGAGTATTTTGCGGATCCTTGTCATTCTAAGGAGTGATTAAAATACAGATTTTCTTGGAAATCGAACCCACATCTTCACAAAAGAAAATCATAAAGAAAACTTAATTTATCGTTAAAAAATTATTTAACGGTCATAAATATTTCAAACTACAAAACCTTACAAATTCAAAAACCTCACAGAGTGAGTTTAGAAATAGATAAAAAACGAAGAAAAGAAAAATTCAACAAATTTAATTATTTAAGTCACAAAAGAGTATCTTGGATAATACAACAATAGTATTTATTTAATAACGATAACTTATTTTTCACAACTTGTTTCAAAGAAATATTTTATAAGAATAACTTTACAATCAAAATCAGATTGCTTCGATCTAAAGATCATTCGATAATTCAACAGAGTAAGATTAAACAAATAATTTGTAATAAAAATTTTAAATAAGTCCTATACTAAGATTTAAACATAAATAAACACCCTGAAAAACTGAAATAATAAACAAATTTGAAAAATTACGAAATAAAAAGTACCTCGTTTTCACAAGTTTGCAAAATCAATGGAATAGCTTATTATCCTTTTCAAAAGAAGTTGAGGGACAGTTTTCCAATTAATTTGATAAAATTCATCAATAAAGTTCAAAATTCAAGCTAATTTAAAAAATTAAAAACAACTATGGCTGTTTAATATTAAAATCTCAATAACCTTAAACCTTAATAATTTATAAACAAACATTGCTTTGTCGTCATTCTGAGCTTTAATTATGCTTTGGCAATTCCAAATACATATAGCTCGCTACTATAGATTGCATAGAATGATCTGACATCACAAATATAATGAAATCTCAAAATATCTTTCAATCCTCTAATTCCAAAACATAAAACTAAAAGCATGTGATTCACACAGACAGTCTAGTGCATTAGTTCCGAAAAAGACGTGAGAATAAAAGCATTACCAAAAGTATGGATTAAGCTGTCGTAATTTGATAAGCTTTGCTTATCACAAATTGATAATTCTGACTCAATGTATCAATTGGTATCAATAACATCTGCAATGTCACTCAAGAGGAAGTTGATTGTGAAAAAAAAATGTGTCAAGTCATGAATGGTGTGCTTTAAGTCCCATTAATTCTTACAAAAATTTAAGGTTTTGATCAATACGGAGTGCATTGTGTAATGTTAAGCTGCGATCTTGTATAATTACAGCTACAGACTTCATGAATCCGTTTCCACAAATAGATTCCGTTGTTTTAAAAAACCCACAAGCATCGTACTCAGAATTATTGTTATAATTTTAGGAATTACTTGCAATTTTCTATCAAGTCAACTTTATCTTATCGGTCAAAAGCTTTTGATTTATGGTAGACACCTTGATTACCTTATGACAACTTTTTTTCATTGAAGATCAATTATGAGAAGAATTGACGACACTTAATTGCTCATGTACTATTGATAACCTTTATTGCCTCTTGACTTATCAAATTTTCAAGTGTTGCTCTTAATAGTCATTAAGAGTCTATTTCTGATTAACAGATAATCCAAAATGACGTCTGAAGAGAAGGTTGTCACAAAAGAGCGAGGAAATTGGTCAAATCCAATCGAATTTATTTTATCATGCATGAATTTTGCAATTGGCTTAGGAAATGTTTGGCGCTATCCTTATCTAGCTTATAGGTATTAGTATCGGAACTAAAGTTCTTATCAACTTATTAATTGAATGATTTGGATATTTTTGCAGAAATGGAGGAGGTGCCTTTTTAATTCCATATCTCCTAGCTGCTATTTTCATTGGATTACCGGTATTCTTTGCTGAACTGATTATTGGACAGTACAGTGGATTGGGGCCAACAAAAGCTTTTGCATATTTGGCACCATTCTTTCGAGGTAAGTTTGTTTTTGTGGAACTAATTAGAACCTTTATTAATTACTGTTTTTATTGGAGGACTTGGATATAGCTCAATAGTAGTAATGTCACTGCTGCTTACCTATTATTTTGTCGTCCTGGCTTGGGTCTTTTATTACTTTTATCAGTCATTCTTCCCAAACTTATTATGGGGCTCCTGTGATAATGACTGGAATACAGACCGTGAGTTGATCATTTAATGACGTATTTTTGATGAACTTTATCCTTAAAAAACTATTGTTAAGGTTGTTACAATTTAATTGCTGACATTGCATGTCAAGAGAATAATCAAGGGGATGCATTAGACAAAATCTTCTTTATAGACGGATGTCAAACTATTGATGAAATTTGCACGCCTAGGGACCTTGTACCGATTAATGCTACATTCTGTATGAATGGAACTGAATACACTCACTTAAATGACATTATTCATCGACGACTTTCGTCTGAGGAATTTTTCTAGTGAGTTGATTATAGATTTGATTAGACTGTAACTTATAGCCTCCTACCAGATCAGTTATTTCCTTAAAATCTACAAAAATCCACTTTAGATCCACTTTTATCATTTTAATTCAAAATTTAAACTCCTTCTAGTGAGCATGTCCTTGGAATTGGAAATGCAACCTGGTACGACTTTGGATATCCAAGCTGGCGAATTCTTATCTGCTTATTTTTAGCATGGATGCTCTGTGGTCTTTGTGTTGTTAAAGGAGTCAAGTCAGTTGGAAAAGTCGTTTACTTCACAGCTACTTTTCCATATGTTATCCTTACTGCCCTTCTTGTTCGAGCACTGACACTTCCTGGATCTTATGATGGAATTGTCTTTTACATCACACCAGTCTGGGATAAATTATTGAGTCCATCAGTTTGGGGAGATGCTAGCAGTCAAATTTTCTACTCATTCAGTTTGGCTTTTGGAGCTTTAGTCACACTTTCGTCTTATAATAAGGTTAGTGATTCTATGGTTTTATAAAGGCTTTTTGTGATCAAACTTATGCTCTTTCAGTTCACCAACAACTGTCATTTTGATGCCACAATAGTCACAGTCATAAACTACTTAACTGCTTTATACAATGGTTTTGCAGTATTTGCAATTCTCGGATTTTTAGCACACGCTATGGATGCAGATATCGCTGATGTTGCTAGCTCAGGTCCTGGATTGTAAGTATTACAAAATAATTCTTAAAGCACCGAAAACATATTTTTCGTTCAATTTATATGATTTATTTACAAATTCGAGGAGAAAAATGAAAAGCAAATATTAATCTTTTTAGATCTTTCATTACCTTCCCTGAAGCGATTCTTCTCATGCCTGCTTCAAATGTCTGGGCTGTGCTGTTTTTCTTCATGATGATAATTCTCGGTTTAGGATCGACATTTGCTGGCGTTCAGCTAGTAACAACTACGATTGTTGATCAATGGCCACATTTAAGAAGGAAGCAGTGGATGGTGATTTCTGGAATTTGTCTGACTGGATTTGCGATGGGAATTCCAATGACATGTCCTGGCGGAATCTTCTTATTCACACTTTTAGAATATCACACAGCCAGTTGGGCTATCTTTTTGATTGGTTTCGGCATCATTGTGTCACTTTCATGGGCTTATGGAGTTAATAACACACTTGACATGGTAGCTGAAATGGGTATGAAGCTATGGAATTTCGTCAAACACTACTGGCGAGCAACATGGGTTGTCATCACTCCAATTTATATTCTCGGAATTTTCATATTTGTTCTGACTGGCATTGAGCCAACAAAATTCGGTGATTATATTTTCCCAGTATGGGCTGATGTTCTTGGATGGATGTTTGGATTGTCAACTTTAGTTCCGTTTATTGTGTTTGGTATAATTGAACTTATTAAAGCTGAAGATAAGATAAGTGTGTTTAGGCCTACGAAAAATTGGGGACCTCAAGAGGTTAACGGCGAAAGAGTTGATAGGACGACAGTGGCTTGAAATAATTATTTAATTAATATTTAAGTTGTGATACTCATGTTGAGGTATGATATGGTTTTGGTTGTAATTGGCATGCTGAAATTGTAGAAGTTATAAACAATTCTTATCAAAAAGATAAAATTGTTGCTAAAAATAAAGAATTATTTTTAAATCATATTTTTTCTAAGAACAAGTTTGTTTTTTGTTATTCAAATTCTTTGTCCTTGACTTTTAAGTGGATTTTGTGAGGCTGTTGACAGATTTGGATGGAATTAGCAAGTTAAATATTGTCTAACAGAATGAGTGACTCTACAATTAATTGTTATTCATCAAAAATATATATCTCGCTCTACTTAGCAATTGCTAATGCTCCTGATCTTTAGATTGTCCGTTTATGCAGCATTAAACCACAAAATAGAAAACCTTTGAAATATTTTCTGACCTAGACAATTTTCGCCTTAAAAACTTTTCCATTCATTGAGATTTTTTTGCTGCTTCTTTACTATTGGAACTTATTCAGGCATCGCTCATACAATAGACTAATTCTTAGATACTTTTAAGCTTTTATAGTCTAAAAGATAGTTGAAGCAATGACCTGATGAACTTTTTAAATATCATTGTTAAGTTCTGTACAGCAATCAACAATCAAACAGCAATGAACAACTTTATCATTTCCTTATCAATCCGTATCACAAGTTATGATTAATATACAGTAGTATAAAAACGGTTGGAAGCAATTAAAGAGAAATATTTTCTTAAAAACAGTGGTTAAGGTAAGGTTGAATAAAGTTGAGTAGATGTGATTAGTTTAGTGGATATGAGGAAATTAGTTATTTAATGGAAATGAAATTTGACAATTTATTTGAATTCTTAATTATGAAAAAGATGTGAAAAGTTTTTTTTTAATAAAAATTAATACTTTGCAAGAAAGCAAGACTAAACTTCAAGTTCATTGACTTAAAAATATGAAGAAAATATTGATGCATCCAAAAAATATTTTAAATGTTAAAAAAATTAATTTATGAAAGTTGTGATAAATTTTAAAAGAAAAACAAATTTGAATTTATTCAAAATTTATTTGAATTAATGAATGAAAAAAAGGTGTAAAATCTATTCAATAAAGTTCTGGATTATTGTCTATCGTCTAATGCGAATCCAAACTCAATAACCTGCAAGTTTTTTAATGAAATTTCAAATAAAATTCATCCCAAGGCCAATAAATTCAACAAGAATACACAATTTATAGCTTGTAATCCACAAATGCGATTATATCTGTAATAAAGTGTCAAAAATGATTGATGAACTTAATTAATATAAAAAATGTGTAGTGATGCATGTTTCTGTGTTGATAATTGCTTCTGAATTATTTGTGGAATTTTTTTGTGTTTTATGATTTTTTAAATTGAAATTTTAAGTTAAATTTTGAAGAAAACATTTAAATTTTGTAAAAACGATTATTAGGACTTATGTGATTTCAATCATGTGCAAACAAAATTTGACTAAAACGAACAAATTTTGCAATCACAAGCTTTTGGCGCCAAAAAGTCTATCACAAAAATTTCAGTCAATTCCAATTGATAAACTTGCATTCTGTTTTAAATTCATTGATTTGTAAACTTACTTGCAATTTTCCTTATCTTATCTTGATATGTCACGTTTCAATAGATTATTTGTAAGTATTTTACTTACTTAGCATTAGTCTTTATCTTGCAAGATTTACCTTCGTACAATTCAATAATAATAATGTGACTAATACCTACTTGATTCTTAAAGTGCTTTTCGTACTAATAAAAGAATTTTAATTGCCACTTGAAGCTAATCATTTGTTTATTTATTGACTCTACTTAGTCGAGCTTTTTATTACCAATAATTAAGATTTATTTCCTGTTGATCATCCTTAATAGATTAACCATAATGTCATCTCAAGAGAAGCTAGTCACAAAAGAACGAGGAAATTGGTCAAATCCAATCGAATTTATTTTATCATGCATGAATTTTGCAATTGGCTTAGGAAATGTTTGGCGCTATCCTTATCTAGCTTATAGGTATTAGTATCGGAACTAAAGTTCTTATCAACTTATTAATTGAATGATTTGGATATTTTTGCAGAAATGGAGGAGGTGCCTTCTTAATTCCATATCTCCTAGCTGCTATTTTCATTGGATTGCCGGTGTTCTTTGCTGAACTGATTATTGGACAGTACAGTGGATTGGGGCCTACAAAAGCTTTTGCATATTTGGCACCATTCTTTCGAGGTAGATTAAGAGATTAAGAGTCAAAAGATTTTTGATCCTAAAAACTTTCATTTTAGGAATTGGATACAGCTCAATTGTTGTAAATTCCTTGCTACTGACCTACTATTTTGTGGTTCTTGCCTGGATTTTCTACTACTTTTTCAACTCATTCTTTCCCACACTCAAGTGGGGTACCTGTAATAATGAATGGAACACAGATAGTAAGGAAAATTACATTTGATAAGTTCATAGTAAACCTCAATTTTTTCATAGATTGCTACAGCTTAGTAGCTGATATAGCATGCCAAGAAGGAAATTTTGGAGATCGAAATGATACAATATTCTATCAGGATAAATGTCAAACTATTAGTGCAATTTGCTCACCAAAAAATCTTATTCCAATAAATGCATCGTTCTGTATGAATGGAACTGAATATACACATTTAAATGACATTATAGTGAGGAAGCTTTCGACAGAAGAATTCTTCTAGTAAGTACAACGTTTCCTCAATCTATAAAACTTTTTAAGAACATTTAATTTCAGCGAGCATGTTTTGGGCATTGGAGATGCAACTTGGTACAACTATGGATATCCTAGATGGCAAATTGTTATCTGCTTGTTCCTGGCATGGATGCTTTGTGGTTTAGCAGTCATTAATGGTGTCAAATCAGTTGGAAAAGTCGTTTATTTCACAGCAACTTTTCCATATGTCATCCTTACTGCTATTCTTATTAGAGCATTGACACTTCCAGGATCGTTTGATGGAATTACTTTTTATATATCTCCAGAATGGGACAAATTGTTAGAACCTTCAGTTTGGGGTGATGCTAGTAGTCAAATTTTCTACTCATTCAGTTTGGCTTTTGGAGCTTTGGTTACACTTTCGTCTTATAATAAGGTGAGGCAATTCCTATGTTGCTATTGATACTAGTGCTGATTAAATGTTTATTTCTTTAGTTTAATAACAATTGTCATTTTGATGTCACAATAGTCACAGTCATAAACTACTTGACTGCTTTATACAACGGCTTTGCAGTGTTTGCAATTCTCGGATTTTTAGCACATGCCATGGATGTGGATATTTCAGTTGTTGCTCGCTCAGGTCCTGGATTGTAAGCATTACTAACGTAACTTATTAAGACTCAATAGCTCAATATATCTCATTTCAGATCATTTGTAACCTTCCTGGAAGCCATTTTACTAATGCCTGGAGCTAATGTTTGGTCCGTCTTGTTCTTTTTTATGATGATAATCCTTGGACTAGGTTCAACATTTGCTGCAGTCCAATTAGTAACGACAACAATCTTTGATCAATGGCCACATCTGCGGAAGAACCAATTTTTGGTGATTTTCGCGGTTTGCTTTACTGGCTTTTTGATGGGAATTCCAATGACATGTCCTGGTGGAATCTTCTTATTCACACTTTTGGAATATCATACAGCAAGTTGGGCTATCTTCATAATTGGCTTTGGTATCGTCGTCTCATTGTCATGGTCTTATGGAGTTAATAACACACTTGACATGGTTTCTGAAATGGGAATGACATTATGGAATGTTGTAAAGCACTACTGGCGAGCAACATGGGTCGTCATTACTCCAATCTATATTATTGGCATTTTCATCTTTGTTCTGACTGGAATTGAACCCACTAAGTTTGAAGATTACGTCTTTCCAGTGTGGGCTGATGTTCTTGGTTGGATGTTTGGATTGTCAACCTTACTTCCATTTATAATTTTTGCAATTATTGAATTAGTCAAAGCTGAGGATAAGATGAGTGTGTTTAGACCTACAAGACTTTGGGGACCACAAGAGATTAATGGTCAAAAAGTTGACAGAGCAACAATGACTTAGGATTTTAAGTTTGAAATTTAATTTTAAGCTTTTCAAATAAGAAATAAAAAAAATTATTATAAAATTTATATTAACGGTTTTTAAAAATAAAAAGCTAATAAGGTTCCAAAGCCATCCAAATGTTTCTAGAGGTTATTTCCGAGAAGATATTTCTTTGTGTTTACATTTCAGTCGACAATTTTTTTGTAATACGAAATAAATTTTTTGCTAAACTCTTTTAATTAAATTAAGTGTTTTTCAATGCCTAAAAAGTATTTTTAACAACAAAAAAATCAAAATATGACAAGTGTATGGAAATATTTGGTGCTGTTTTGCGTTTTCATTCCTGTATTTAGAGCTTTAAATTCAAATGATATTTTAATCATTGGTAAATTTGAATAAATTGTGACACATATTTCCAAAAATTCAAAAATGATTAGCTGATAAATTGGTGACTAATGCTTAAATTTAATTAATTCCCAGTGTCATACGATGCCTTTAGAAATGAATATTTTGACAGAGGTGTGACAAACTTTACAAATGAACTTCGGAAAAATTCTACAAGATCAAAATTTATGCGAAATATTTTTCCAACAAAGACATTTCCAAATCATCATTCGATAGCCACAGGCGTTTATTCAGATGATCATGGCGTGACAGGAAATGAGTTTTATGATTTTGAACTAGAAAAGCCTTTCAATTATTCTTATGAAATGTTCCACTATCGATCAGAGATTGTACCCATATGGATATTAAATGAAGTATCTGGAGGGAATAGTGGTTGCATGATGTGGCCTGGAAGTGATTATTTATACAATGGCATTTCCTGTACACATAAACAACATTTTAATATGTCTGAAAATTTGCATGAGAGAGTTGATCAAGTGATGGGATGGATAACAAATAAAACATCACCAGCTAATCTTGTTATGCTTTATATTGAAGACCCTGACAATCATGCACACGCCTTTGGCCCTGAATCACAACAAATCACCGATTTAGTTGGCAAGCTTGATAAAATGACAGAATATCTTTACAAAAAGATAAAAGAGAAAAGTTTAGAAAGTCGAGTGAGTGTCGTGCATCTTAGTGACCACGGAATGGACAGCTTACAACTCACGAATGTCGTTGACTTGACAAAAATAATTAAACATAAAGTTTCATATTATGGAAATACACCAGTTATGCAAATTGTGCCTGTAAATTCTTCAGAACTTGATGAAATTTACAAGGAACTTAAAGAAGCTTCAGAGTCTACACAAAAGTTCAAAGTTTACCTGAATAGTGAATTACCAGATCGCTGGCACTTCCACAATAAATATCGAGTAGGTCCAATCACAATTGTTGCTGAATTAAAGTATGGATTTCATGACATGATTGATGCCGCAAAATGGTATGAAAAAGCATTCAATATAACATTTAATATGACAAATAAGTACGGCGTTCATGGATATGACAATGCACTAGAATCTATGCATCCAATATTCTTTGCCTACGGAAGTAGAATCAAAAGTTTCAACGAAGTTGAGCCATTTGATACTGTGGATTTATATTACCTGTTTTGTGAGATTCTCGGACTTCCAGTTCCTGATTATTTGAAGGGGAATCGAGATAATGTGATGGGTATTTTGAAGTCGGAAGATGGTGCAAGGAGGATGAACAGATGGGTTGTTTTAAGTATGTATGACTAGAATTAGGCTTAGGCGAAAATGCCAAAACTTGTTATTCTTAACCTTAATCTTAGCCTTGAAAATCATTCAATATTTATAAATCCAATTAATCAAAACATTCGTCTCCCAATCAGGTGCTTCAATCATTCTCTCATCAATGCTCGTGTCTGTTCTAATGATATTCATGAAAATATGGAGAAGAAATCGTTCAAACATCCCAAGCTACTTATATGAAGAAGATACAACAGTACTAGATGACACCAAAATTCTCAATTCAACAAGTCAACCTCCAACACTATCAACTCCACTAGCAACATCATCAACACGTTTCAATGCGTTTTAATGCTCACAGAACTTCTGTTTAGATAAAAAAAAGACTTATTAATATTTTCGTTGTGATAAGAAAGGAGTCGAATGTGAATGAAAGATTTAGTTCAATGTCCTTGTTTATGAAATCGTCCTTAAAGAAAGTTAAATTATATTGTATTTTTTTTACTGATTAACTGTACCTTATTCATCAAGAAAATGGAGAAAAAGTTAATTAAATAAATGAGATCGTTTTACTATAATTGTGATAAAAGTTTGCTAGGGAAAGGAATTATAGCTAGAAATTGCAGCACTTCGGTCTCTCAACTTTTGAATCAAAACTGTTCTACAGCTTTGTAAAAAGCTAAGACGTCAGCACTTCTCTTCGACAATTATTTGTTTCAGAAAAAATAATAGAATTGAGGATTTACTGCTAATTAAGTTTTAATATAGTCACTACTTTAGCAGCGTTCTAATTTCTCATTTTAATTGATTTCATTATTTTAAAATCTGACTGTACAAAAAGTTTATGAACATAAAAGTCTGTCAAATACAGCTATTCCTAACATAACCCTTGAAAAGTAAAGCTTAAAACCAAGTACGATGAGATTTTCGATGGCATAATACTTTGAGTATAGCCTAATCTATTACTTGTACTAGGTAACCATCGAGCTCGTAGCCATAGAGTCAGGACCTCGTTAGGATGCTACTACAGTCGACAGATTTGAAGTCGATTCGATTCAACTCAATTCGACTTCATACTCTAACCCAGTGGTGTTCAAACTGTGTACCACGGCACACTGGTGTGTCGTAGAATTTTTTTGGAAATGACGCGAGCCGTATGCTGTGTACGACTTTGGTCATGGCTTACCCCTCAGGTGTGCCGTGGCTCAAAAAAGTTTGAACAACACTGCTCTAACCTAAAGTTCGTTCACAATTGATGTTAATTGTCCATCTAAGGTAGGAAGGCCTAATATAGTCGAATGACACTACAAAAAACCTTCTTTTTACCTCAATAAAGAATCAAAGATGTATCAAACACTCATAATCAAATATGTAAGTCACTTTTCAGTAATTTTATCACTTAAATTATGAAAGAATAAAGCATGCATGCTGTTACAATCATCTGAATAATTCTTCCATAAGACAAACATTTGCATAAGAAATTAATTTCCATATTTTATCTTTCATAACATCGAAATGATGATGATTATGAGGACCTCATTTTCATCTTTACTTTCCACGTAATAATTTGGCAGGTGATAACAAAAATGAAAAGAGAGTAAAATGAGGAGAGAATAATAAACTTTTTTCTCAGTATTTACACATTTTTTATAATTTTGTTCTTCCCTTAGGATGATTGTGGGTATCAATGTTAAGTTTTGAATGCGAATAAAGTTTATTTCTAAAGCTGACCGTGATCCCTATTCAAATACAATGGAGCTTTATTTAGAATTCAAAGTAATGAACAAATATTTTTGATTTTAGGGGAGGGCAGTGCTGGCTAAGCTTTTTCGTGCAACGGCACACTTGATACGGTTCGTGGGATATCCCGAAGTTTTCACGGTACACAGGCTTGCCATCACTGAGGCAGAATGCTCTTATGGAGTTGAATTTTAGGGGTTTTCACCAAAAACATATTCAGTTATAACTCAATTTTCACAAGGAATCCTACATCGCTAAAAACTTTCAATTCAAATTTGTATTCCATTCATAATGCGGTTCTTATTATCTACACTTAGCTCAAAAAAATTAAACAATATACATGAAATGAATTCTTTATTTCAATATGCACATTTTCACAAGCCTTTTTCCATTTCTTTCACTTTTTCCTCAATGTACAATGGTTTCCGCTCTATAAAACTTCACTTCCTAGATTAATTCATGATATATGTGTGGTACATTCATTCATTTCCATTTAAAATGTATTCTATGCTACTTTTTACTTAATATATGCTCAATTCAAATGCTGAAAAGAATTGTGAGAAGAAAAAGAAATGTTGAATGAATGAGTGAGTGGCAAAAAAAATGTTTAATTGCTACAAACTTTATAAAAGCTTTCATTGATTTACAATGCATTTCCCAAAAGAGTAAAGGTTGGTTTGCTCGCGTTTTGTCTTCTTTACGAATTCTTTATTATGCAATTCTCAAAAGAAATCAGAAATGAATATTTGATGTTCGCAAAGATGTAGCTTGGAATAAGGTTGAAAAGTTTTATGCATGCAATAAATCTATTGCTGAAAGAGTTATGAATTTTGAGTATGAAAATGTGAAATTTTGTTAATAATTCAATTCTTTGTTTTCAAACGGTTTTAAATTATTCAAAAAACATAAATTTTGAATAAGAAAGTTGTTTTTTGTTCTCCTTAAAAGAATTGTTGTCCCCTGCATAAACAGTTCAGTTCCAAATCTTATAATTAGCTATTCTTTAGATTCATACCACACAAAAGCACATTATTAGATTGGAATTTTAATGAAAAATAACGAGTCATGATTAATTAAAGATATTGGAACCTTACAAAATCGCTAAACGTGAAAACTTTGTTGTTTACAAATATTAGCTTGTATCAATGTTATATATTGTTTCTTTATTTGTTAAATATTTAAGTTTTGTTACTCACAGAGAATTATTCATTTATCTGATCAGTCATCAAAGTTTTCTGCAAATTCTTTTTAAAGGGAAATTGTGCTGATACTTAATTTGAATCTTTATTTCTGAATTTATCTTGCAATAGAATTATGACTGAAGAAAATAAATTTTTAGGCAAGTGAACTTTAAGTTTTAATAAATAAACCCATTAATTTAAAATTAAAGTTCTCAATTTTCGTTATCATTAAATCTCAAATCAGATATCTGCTGTCCAATACTGACACTTGATGAATTGTTGAACAATCAAAATGATAAACTTCATTGGGGTGACAAGGTCGAAGCTTTAGTCAATCGATCATCACCAATATCTCCAGCCACTACTTTCTATTCAATGGACAGCGATACAAAATTATCTATCGACAATCGTCCAGAAGTGCTCGTTTGCCATGACTATAAAGGAAATTATCTAGACGATAAGTTTATCGACGGTGGTTTAAAATGGGAGGACTATCGTTTTTACAACTGGAGTGTCGTTGACATTTTCTGTTACTTTTCACACAATCTTGTAACGATTCCAACTCTTCAATTCATTAATGCTGCACATCGGAATGGTGTTAAAGTTATTGGAACTTTAATTTTTGAACATGATGAAGGTAGAAAGGCTATAAACGATATGTTGATCGATAAAATGCAGACTGAAAAAGTAGCGAATGCTTTAATTGATATTGCGAAACGCTTAAGCTTTGAAGGATGGCTATTGAATGTTGAAGTGTCTGTAAATCCCAAAAAACTGCCATTTTTGAAACATTTTGCAAATTTTATTACTAAAAAGACTCATCAAGAGATTAAAAATGGATTAATTCTGTGGTACGACTCCGTGAGTGCTGTTGATGGAATTTTACATGGACAAAGTGAACTGAATAGTCATAATAGTGAATTTTTTGAACTATGTGATGGTAAGACATTTTATAACTTCGTTAAACTCAGTTCTTAACATTTTTACTGACAGGTATCATCACTGACTATAAATGGAAGCAAGATCATGTTGAAAGAACATCAATATTGATTAATGAAAAGTATCCTAATAGAAGAAAGGATGTTTTCTTTGGAATTGATATCTTTGGAAGAGGTCAAATTGCTGGGTTTAGAACTAACGAGGTTTATGACTTTACTTTTTAAAACAAAATTCAAACGTGTAATAATTTTATCAATTCCACAGACACTTTCAATAAGTGCAGCACAAAACTTTAGTACATCAATATTCGCACCTGGATGGACAATGGAACACATTGACTCTAAGATTGTAACGAATGAGAGTAGTTTAAATAAGGAGTTTCTTGAAAGAAATGATCAATTTTGGAACATATTGTATAAATACTTTTATATATTTGGTCCGAAATCACTTCCATTTGTCACAAACTTTTGTATTGGATCTGGTAAGAAATTGTTTGAAATGGGAAAGAAAGTGAAAGGAAATTGGTTTAATTTGAAAATGCAAGATTTCCAACCATCAATGCCAACATCATATGGTCAATTTTCTCATTATTATGTAGATGCATTTAATGGAGGAAGCTGCTTGTCAATCGACACGAATGAATTGACTAGAATTTTCACTTGCGAACTTCCATGTAAAGATGGATTGATATTTTCATTCACATTCAAGAAGAGAGTACCCCTTAACGATCTTGAAGTACATTTGAATGTCCTGAACACAGCCACAAATCTTGGATTAAAAATTGTTTGTAAAAAGCAAGCGAATCTTGCAAATGAAATTTCGTCTTTGAAGACTGAAGATGTTCAAATATTGAATGCTTTTCTAACCAACAAAGGATATACACCAAATCCTGAAGTCATCAATGCTTGGGAAACTCAATACTTTTTGTTAAAGTTTAACAAAAGCTCATCTAAGAACATAATAGTCACAGACATTGGTGTGAAGAAAATCCATAAAAGAAAAGTTTTCTTAGGACAAATAGCTTTTTATTCAGCAATTGACTTTGAAAGTGATTCTATTAGACCGATAAAAATTGAGCTGTAAAGAAATGAAATAAAATGATTTTTTAAAGCTAGCTTCAAACATTTGTTCTCAATTAAGAGTCAAAACAGCTACGATAAATTCAAAAAGCATAAATAGATCCACATCTAATGTTTCCCTAGAAGGAGCTGCCCGATCAGCACACATTGAAATGTTTGCTACCCGTCGACAGGGTTGATAGTATAATTAGAAACAACCGACAGCCACGTGGTAACCACATGGAAATAGCTTCCAAGCGACAATACATAAACGTAGAAGATTTGCAAAAACTTTTATTTCTGTTTGATTTAAAGCAGTCAATTCGAAATAAAGAAAGTGAAAACTCAGTCAGAATTTAACGAGACAGTCACAATTGAAGAATTGGAACCTTACAAGATTGTACAGTTTGCCGGTTTTGTTTTTGTTTACAAAATTGTTATGTTGTGATCTTTTATGTTAAATTTTATTTATCTTTATTTATTTGTTGCTATTATGTGAGTTGGCTCCTGAACTCTACTTAATTAACACCAAAATAATTAAATTCTATGCAAAACATGTCTGATTGGTCTTTAAAAAAATCTTTTCAGATGCTGTAAAGAAATTATGTCAAACGCATCAGACGAATGTAATTGCGAAGGTCAGTAAACTACAATTAGAACTAGAATTTATGTCGTAATAGTTTTACTAGACTTACATCCGTTTATAGATAAAATCATTTTACATCATTCATGATTAGTTCAGTTCACATTGAGCTAGCTCATAAGAAACACCACAGTCGTAATTCATTTCTATTTTTAATTATGATTTCAGATGTTTGCAGTCCAATAGTGTCATTTGATGAACTTTTGAATAATCGACATGATAAACTTCGCTGGTGTGACATGGTTGAACCGTTGGCCAAACGGTCATCACCAAGATATCCAACAAGAGATTTCTATTCAATGGATAGTGATATTGTAATTCCATTTGAAGACTTTTCTGAGAATCGTCCAGAAGTACTTGTGTGCCATGACTACAAAGGAAATTATCTAGACGATAAGTTTATCAATGGAGGTGTCAAATGGGAAGAATATCGTTTTTATAACTGGAGTGTCGTTGACATTTTCTGCTATTTTTCACACAATCTCGTCACGATTCCAACGCTTCAATATCTCAACGCAGCACATCGCAATGGCGTTAAAGTTATTGGAACATTTATTGTTGAGAATGAAGATGGACGAAAAGCCCTTCACGACATGTTGGTCGATAGAGAACAAACTGAAAAAGTAGCAACGTCATTAGTAGAAATTGCGAAACGATTAAGCTTTGAAGGATGGCTGTTGAACGTTGAAGTGTATGTAAATCCTGAAAAGCTGCATCTCTTGAAACATTTTGTGCAATATTTAACGGAAAAGACGCATAAAGAGATAAAGGATGGCAGAACCATATGGTATGATTCTGTAAGTGCAATCACGGGAGGATTGTTGTGGCAAAATGAACTGAATCATGTGAATGAGTGAGTACTGAAATGATTATTATTATTCTCAGCTGTTCTACATCCTCTCTTCTCTCTCTTTTCTCATTTTTTTATAGAGAATTTTTCGATCTTTGTGATGGTAAGAGATTTAATTTAAAGCATAAATTATTCATTTTCTTAGTTCAGACGAGTTACTCTTGTCTTGAAACTTGAATTTAATCGATTCTGTTTAACTTTGTGACAGGAATCTTTACTAATTACAATTGGTCAGTGAACCATTTAGAGAGGACTTCAAAGTTGATTGATGAAAAGTATTCAAGCAGACGAAAGGATGTTTTCTTTGGAATTGATGTGTTTGGAAGGGGACAAGTTGCAGGATATAGAACTAATGAGGTATGAATTTCTTACTGTAACTTAATTTCTTCTTTTCCATCTCAAAATATTCACAGACGCTTTCGAAAAGTGCAGCATTTCAATTCAGCACGGCAATATTCGCACCTGGATGGACATCAGAAACAATCAACACAAAAGTTGGATTCGATGATCATCATTCATCTGAGAAATTTAAAACACGCTTCAACGAAGTCTTCCTGACTCGAAATGACAACTTTTGGTCATCATTGTACACTTATTTCTACATATTTGGTCCGAAATCACTTCCATTTGTCACAAACTTTTGTATTGGTTCCGGAAAGAAGTTGTATAGAATGGGAAAGGAAGTAAAAGGAAATTGGTTTAATTTAAAGGCACAAGCTTTTCAGCCATCAATGCCATCATCAAATGGATACTTTACTCATTATTATGAAGATTCTTTCAATGGAGGAAGTTGTTTGTCAATCGATTCGAATGAATTGACTAGAATTTTCACCTGCGAACTGCCATGTAAGGAAGGATTGATTTTCTCGTTTACAACTAAAAAGGAATCTCCCGAAAATGATTTTGAAGTACATTTGAATGCCTTAAATACAGCCACAAATCGTGGATTGAAAATTGTATGCAAAAAGGAAGCAAAGCATGCAAATGACATTTCATCATTAAAGTCTGAAGATGTTCGTTCCTTAAACATTTTCTTAGCCAACAAAGGATATCCACCAACTCCTGAACTCATCAACTCTTGGGAAACTCAATATTTTCTGTTAAAGTTTAACAAAAGCTCATCTGAGAACATAATAGTCACTGACATTGGTGTGAAGAAAATCCATAGAGGAAAAGTTTTGCTAGGACAAATAGCTTTTTACTCTGCAATTGACTTTGAGAGTGATTCTATTAGAGTTAAGAACATTGATTTGTGAGGAATTATTTATTTGGTATTAAATTCTGTATTTTATACAAGACTTTAAATAAAACCATGAAATATATTTTGATAATCAAGCATAAACTCTTCTTGATTTGCTTAAAGAATCTTAGACTTCTCTATAATATTAATTGGTAATTAATTCATCTCATTCATGCTTATTAAATCATAAAAATGAACAACGCGTCAGTCACAGATTTAATTTTAGTATCTTAATTGTAATCGCTAAGTTACTATCTTGCAGACTATCATGCGCTTCCATGAATGTAGCTTCTCTAAGGTTATTATAACGTCATTATTAATAAATAAAAAAAAACAAACTTTAGCATTCAGACCTTAGAGATCCATAGCTGTGCGTTTTTATGCGTTACAAGGCTAATGATAGTTTAACGAGAGAGGGTTCGCCAGACCTCCCGCTCAAACCTAGCCCTACAGTTTACAGTGAGATCCGAACCACTCATCTGATGACATTTCTGTCTGTAGCCTACAAAAGAAGTCTGTGAGCCTCATTTCCAGTACGTATGATTCGAAAAAGGACAAGTGAAAATTTTTCCATACCGAGTCTCGAACCCATGATCGCTGTGTCGGTATTGCAATAATTATGTACCCAAGTATCAAACCATTCCGCCACCGAGCCACTTCATGATTATGAATAAAATACTTTTAATTCTTGATTTATCATTTTTAAAAATAATTTATCAGGTCCATAGCTTTTTTACTCCATTAATATCACTTCATTTACAGGAGAGTAGCTTGAAATTAGTCGAAAGAATAGTCTAAAACTGACTCTTGCTTCTTCCATACCTCTAAACAATTATATGCTCATTAAATGATGCTTTCGTCCATAATTAAGTAATTAAATAAATATAACTTCCTAGAATTCTTGCAATTGACGTCAGAACTGAGTAGTCTAAGTAATTTGGTAGTTACGTCCTCTATTAATGTATCCATAAAATTGTCTACTTACTCAAATTGAAGGTCATGCATACTAATAGCATTTCGAGAGCATCATAAGATATAATTAAGAAAAATTAACGATTCCTTACCTAAAACTATAGCAAGTTCTACATAATCATTGACCTTCGAAGTTGTCTGCTGTGCTAAATGAGTCCTTTAATATTTAATTATGAAATTCATGTTGAAGCTACTGAAAGGAACCATTTAGTGATCATTGAAGCCATGCTTAGCTTATTTCAAGAGGGTTATTAGAGCACATCGACATAATCACTTTGCAAACATTAGCAAATTAAGCTTTTGATCTGTAATTAAAGCACCATTTCTATAGCTACAGAAAAAAGTTGTCTCCAATATATAATTTGCATTAATTGCAATTAAGATGATGAATAATTTTGTTTACTGTCATAAATATGCACACATAAAAGGTTATGGCAAAAGTCATATCCACTTTTTTTTATCGTTGTAATGAAAGCATTTAAATTGTATGAGAAATGACACATTTTAAAGGGGTCATAAAACTTGCTGAAATGACTGAAAACATGTGTAAAATAGTAAAAAGTTGTCTGGATAAGAAAGGGGAAAGGGGGTCGTTCATTAATGCTGTCAATTGATTTTTTTTGCTTACAGTTGTTTAGGTTCAGCGACTAATATTTGATGATACTCTTGAAAAACTGGTTTCCAGGTCTTACTCGGTGTGCCATTAAAATGGTCATGATAAACTTTTGTTCACATACTAAAGTTCTGATGATTTATACTCGAATCAAGCTGAGAAAGTTTAATCACTTGCTTAAGACGAAGTTTTATGATTGTCTCAAGCTATAAAATGTTTACTAAAGCTTGAGAGCCTTCAGCTTCTCTCAAAAAAGAATACTGGACATCATTAAGTAAACAACTCCCAACCCCAGTAAAAAAAGAATTTATCTCATAGAGGACGGAGAATCCGAATGCTTTTGACATCAAAATATTTTTTTTTGGACATAAAAAAGAGAGTCGAGAGATCTCAATAATCGATATGAATGTTTACAGCAATCAACATTTCAATTTCAACACTCGTACGGTAGACGTAATAATTTTTTTTAAGCATTTAATTAAATAAACTTTGAGCTTATTGCCATTTTGTCTGTAAATTTTTGGCCTGTGCATGAATAAAGAAGAAGAAGCACGAATAAAAGATAATCTTTAAGGATTATGCTTAAAATATTCAATAATATGAAGTCATAGAAACTTCTTTGTATTGAGAATTGTTTCAAGAACTGCCTATGAATATTTTCAGAAAAACATGTTTCTTATTGCATGGAAACAGCTTAATAGGATTCACAAATTCTGGCATAAAAACTTGAATTCATAAACAGGTAGAATCAACATTTTAGATCGACTTTATTATTTCCAGTATAAATGATTTATGCAATCAATGGAAGCAATTCAATGAACTTAAGGTTCCTCACACTTTCTAAACTTGTCAGTCATGTATTAAATGCAACAGATGTTAGGTCAGAAAATTAAATTAGTTTTGTAATATTAATAGTGTCGCAATTCCGAGCTTTAATGTTATGCCATGAATCTGTCAAGTTTCTAGTACCAAACTTACCTGGAACCTAATCGGAGTTTCAACTAAGAGCCCGTTCACTTATGACGTCCGGAAGAGAGGTCAGAAGGCCCTGGAAATCCATTGTTCCTTTTTGAAAAATGACCGTTAATTTCGGACTTCCTAAGTGAACGACCCCTAAGTGAAATTCATATCTTTAAATCTTATTAAAATGGCCAAAGTCGCACTGGATATTGACTAGATCTTATAAAGTTGGTCTGGATGTTCACTGGATCTTTTAAATCGTCAAAGAAGCCTAATATTCCTTAATTTCAGAAGAAGGACTAAACTAGTATAGTTTTAATAAAGCACTGGCTTGTTTAGCCTTTATAGATCCATGTCCTCGACTTTTTCATTTGTGTTGCTCGGGCTTGAATGCGTTAGCTACTTCAAACTAGAATATCTTGTTATGTTTGCTTGTTAAGCTGCTGATTTGTGTAAAACAATGATTTTGCCACATTAAAATACAAGTTATCAAACCTAAAAGTGGAATCATCATTTCATTATTTGGAAATAATCAAACAGATAAGACGGAATAAAATCTGTTGCAAAAAATCCAGTTCGACAAGAATTTCGCACAAAAAAAATCATGTTTCATTATTATTTAAATTTAACCGGTTGATTCAGATTCGTATTTTTTTATTGCTGTGGGAAAATGCGCTGCTACTCAACCGCACCTACAAATTTGATACCCAAAAATATTTTTTTGATTCTCCAATTTTCCATTTCCATCCCAAAACTTTGACATCTACGTCATATTTTTTTGACAACCGTCCCTTCATGCACACACACACCGTACGTGAGAATGAGATCGCACGCAGTCAATGTATTTGATTTTCATACGTACCTGACCTCTACATTTATTCGTATTTTATGTCGAGATCTTGCTGAGTCAAGTCAGAAAAAGAGAAAAAAAAAGTGATCAAAATAAACATAAAGCACGTGCTGCTTGAGGAGTAAATTTTCATACAAAAAATAAAATATTTCGTGAGAGAAACGACGGCATCTGATGTGTACACATAAAAATATTGTCGATACTGTTCAGCTACAAGGAAAAAAAAAATCTGTAAGCTTCGGGAGAGCGAAGAAATGAAACGTTTTACAAAATATTATTTTCTCCCTCAAACAAGTGTGTTTCAGTTTCCTTCTAACGTTCGTGTAAGACACACTGAGAAAACCCAAGTGGCAAACTTGAAATAATTTCTTGATCTTGATTATCAGTTTGGCAGCTATTTTAATTAAAAAATTTGTGAATGAAAGTGTCGAGCAAAAAAGGATATTTAGACTGAATGTCGTGTAAAATTAAACAGAAGATGGAAATTTTAAATAAACAATTAATGTTAATGATTATTGTATTGTGCTTCTTGCTGCCTTTTGTAATGTGAATTAAATGATAATTTGTGAATTAAAATAAAACAAAAAAAAATGTTTTTAAGTAAACAAAATAATTAAAAATGCTTGGAATCTGAATGTGATAAGCTTGACATAGTGATGTAAATTTTATGAATAGTGTAATTAAGGATAAGATCTTGCGTGATTTCAAGTGCTAAATGTAAAACTCACTTGTGTACAGATACCTGATGAGTGGGGTTGTTTGGATGTTGTGAAGCACTTAAAATTGTCATTTTAAGCTTCTTTTAATTATTATGTGATTTTGAAATGAAGCTGCAAATCAAGATAAAGTCGACTATCCAAAACTTGCCTCATACACCTAGTTGTACATAGCTGGAAAGCGGTCAAGATAACATATAAAAATTCAACAATTTTTCATGCTCAATTACTCAAACATTTCTTCCTAAGTCTTAGGAAAAAGTTTTGTGAAAATAGTTTCAAGGCAGTTCCAAAAAAAATCTCTTTCGTGACCTAGATTGACGTTATTTGTGAATGATCCCCTTTTACACCATAATATCCAAACAACCCCCAAAAATAAAATGTCAAGCACATTATTACCTTACTCAAATTTCTACAACCTGATAACATCTCTCTCTTATACCCAAGATTCTATATTTAATATTTCCGAGTGCGGTTCAGAGATTTCAATGCAAAATCGATTGACGACTTCGGCTGTATGGGGTCTTTTTTATGATTTTTCTGTTTGATCTCTGTCCTGGAAACCGGTATTTTATTTTTGTGTTTTAACAAATTATAGACGTTGATGAAGAAGGTTGTTGACCGTTAATTAGAAAAGTAAATCTTAAAATGTTTTAAGTGGGAGTTAAATTTGTAATTGTGAATATTTTGGTTTAGTGTGATTTTTTTGGAATTTAAAAACTTTAATTTACCTTAGTTTACTTATGACGTCCAGGATGGAGGGGGGGGGGGGGGGGGGTCAGCAAGAAAAGAACAATATAAATTCCTGGGAATCTATTTGATATTTTGAAGAAAAAAAATTTATATTTCTTTTGACTTTTTGAAAGTTTTGTGGTTTTTGAATTTTTTTTTTAAACTTATTTTTAAAAAAAATTGTTATTTTTGAATATTTTGATTTTTTAAAAAAATTATTATTTTGATTTTTATTTTGAAATTTTTGATATTTTTTGAATACTTTGTTACAAATTTTTTGAAACTAGTTTGTCAAATATCCCAAAAAAAAAATTCAATACGACTATGCTTAAAATCAAGAGTTGAAAAATTGATTTCGGTATAAAACTGGCACCAAGCTTAGTTGACGCTAGCTTCATATATAAGTTTTGCCCTGATTGGAGTTCAACAACCTGTTATTGTAACTTATTAGAGCAATATAAACCATTCTTGGTACCTTAAAAGTTTGTTTGAATTGGTCAATTCACATCCACAACTTCCAGCCTGTAAATCAACCACGAGAACACAAAAAATAAACCAAATATGTTAATTTCACAATTCAATTCCTGAAGCAGTCATTAATTTTTATTACGTGCTATAAATAAAATTCAGATAATTAATATTCAGAATAATCGAATTTGCATTAATCAATAACATTTCAATTTTAATCTAGTTTAATGGTTAATAAGTTCCCCACAACTTTATATCTGTCCCAATAAGTTATTAAAGTCACTGAACCACCCTCTGTGCAATGATTACATAACAATTTTAAAATTATTCCAAGTCATACAAGAGAAATGACTGCTGGATATCAGCACAGACGATAAATCATGAAAAGCCACAAAAGTTTTAATTTGAAAAATATTTTCATACTTTAGTTTATCATCCCGTAATTAATGAAAATTTTACTTTAACTAATTTATCATATTAAATCCTATACCAGCAACATCCATGTATAACACAAGATAAACAGAATAATTCATACTGTACACAAGCTTGAGCTTAATCTATGAAAAGTTTTCCCATCAACAATTATTATGTGCAATTCTAAGTGAAAAACTAAACCTTGTGGATATAAAAAAAATAAAATTTCCAGCTATTGCTTATTGCACTGCAACATTGAATATACAAATTCAACAAACATGAGCGACAACGAGGACGAAGTCAATGAAAAAACTCATCTAAGGTAGATAAAACAAATTAATGATTGCATTTTTTTCTCTCTTTCTCTATTCAGCAACAGTGTCTGTAACTCTATTATGTTCTAAAATAATCGCGGTTATCCATAGTCGTGGTTGTTGTGTGTGTTCAACAAAAAATAATAATTCAGTGTTTAGAATAGTTTATATCCAATAAAGTTCATCGTGTGGGTTTTATGGCTTTCGTGGATATAAAAAATAAATATTTTTTTAGGGGGGGCTTCCTGTAAATTTATTCTTTTATTAATTTATTTGTTTATTTATGAAGTGAAGGAGCTAAAGAAAATGTCGTCGGATTTGGAACAGCTATTTCGTTTTTGTAGTTTAATTTGAGCCGACTCAAGCTTCTACATTAGAACTGTTGTGGGGTAAAAACCGTTCTCGATGACAATTTTTTTAAGCTATGATTTTTTGACACTAGTGTCCCGTGGCTCAAAAAGTTTTAACATTGCTGCCTTCAGCAACGGTGAAAGCAAAAATGATATATTTAGGCGCAATCCCCTCGAGTGACACAATTTTGGCATCTAAGTTACATTCTTTCTTTGCTGGCCGTACGAACAATTGTCATCCATGACCATCCCTAAAAGACGCCTGAAGCTAGCTCTATCAATTTTCAATTTCCATTACCAAGTGCAATACTGAGCACTTGCAATACTCAGCTTTTTTCCAAGAGTTCGTAAGACGCCCCTAGTTTAGCATCCACAAAATTAGACTTAAAGATTTCATAAATGGTAGCTTCACAGCACATCGTAATTTGCTAATCTTGATTCTTGCAACAACATTAGCTCCATCGAATATAGCAGTGGTGGTTAAACTTTTTTGAGCAACGACACACTTTGTGATTATTTAATTCTGCGATTCTCCTCTACTTTAATGCGTCTTCATCTCTTTACGGTCAAAATATGGTTCGGCGATTTCCATAGAAATGTGTACTCAACTAAATTCATTATGATTTAAAATATGACTTCTAAATAGAGCAAGTGTCAATCGTGTTTGATTTAACATAAAGCTCTGACAATAAAAAAAAACCTTAAAACACATTAAAAAAAGAAGATTCTTGAACTAAGTAGAACAAGTACTTGTTTAATGTTTGATTGCCTCATTTTAGCCGCAAGGAATCAATGTAATGAAGTTTATTTTTGTAATGGAAATTCAATTTTTGCTTGAAAATTATAAATTTATAAATCATTTATTTATTAAAGCTGAATTTTACAGCCCAGGAACAACTACATACTTACTTAAATTTATACAAAAAAAAAAAAATCATAAAATTGAACAAATTCATTTAAAAAGATCACGTTCTTTATAGTTTTACGACAGTAATTTATATCTCGCATATTCGAATGACGTCCGTAATCTGATTTGGAATGAACATTTAAATTGACAAACTATTTGTTGACATGCTAAATTGTTGAGATGAACAAAAATTTAAAATATTTTAAAATTGCCACTTCAAGTTACGAAAAAAAATAACAAAATAATCATCTCGAAAGCACTTTAAAGATCATGTTCAAGGTTGCGCTCAGTTTTATTCGTATTAGCTTTAATTATTTAAGTCAAAAATTGATGATGTTTTAAAATAATTGGTAATTCTAGAGTTGTCTTTCTGGTAAACTGATCAATGATGATTATTAATTTATAATTAGTGGATGTAATAATGGAATTAGTTACATTGGTTATGGAACTTAAAACTGGTTTTGAAAAAGGTATGAGATCCATCACATGATATTGTCTTTAGAATCTTTGTTCACTATCATTGCTATTTTTGTGTTTTATAATTTGATTAATTGCTGTTCAATGCTGAAATCTGGCAACACTGGACAACACTGAACCGAATCTAAGCTAGTTAATCAATTTATTGATCATAAATATCATGCTTAAGCTGATTGATTAAATAACCTCAAATTCTGTGTAGCTCGAAGTTTGTCATAAAACATCAAGTTCGACAACTTTAAGTCTGCGAACATTGACATGCAAATTTCTCGAATGTAAAATCAACCGAAAAAGTTGTCAAAATTCAAAAGCGAAATTGAATCAAGCAGAAAAGAATTAATTTTTAATTGAATTTATAGACGAATTCGCATTTTTTTTCTCGTCTATTGAACAGAATGTTGGAAAATTTTCAATGCTGAATTTTCATTGATGAATTTTTCTTTTGCCTTGGTTGTATTGTAATTTTGTCCTATGTAGCTCTCGTGTACTGATAACATTATCTTATCGAATTTCCATACATTTACCATCAATTTTTCACCGATAAGATAAATTTTTGTCATTCGATCAATTTCACCTATACTGAATATGGAAATTTCTGTTTAGTTCTTCTCATTTCACTCGGATAGAAAGTTCATTTATGGTAATGTAAAGTGTGTGACTGACTGAAGTTGATGAAAAAATTGAAATTTTTAAATTTTAATGATGAAAAATCCGGAAAAGGAAATGAAAAATAATTTTTCCAACACCAAATGTGTAAAAATATATGAAAACTCAGTTTGAAAAAGTTCATGTTCAATGGATGAAAAGCTACAATATGGTGAAAAGTTGCAAAAAAGTCTTTGTGCTATTTATTGAGAGAACTAAGCGCATTTTTGAAGCTGTACTCAATATTTTAATTTAAAAAAATAAATCAAATTTTATATATTTGAATTTTATTGATTTTTTAAAGTTCAAAATTTTAATGACTTTATAAATTTGAATTTTTATAACGGGTTTTTGAAATTTGAATTTATAACGGTTTTTTTAATTTAAATTTTTAAGGGTTTTTTTGAAATTTGAATTTTTAAAACGGTTTTGAAATTTATGAATTTTGAAGAGAAAAAAATCAAGTTTGAAATAAACTGATTAAAGTTTCTATGTTGTTGCAAAACGTGTTGTGTTTAAAAACGGTCTATTAAAAAATGCACAAAAAAAATATTTTATTTGTGGTTTTAATGGAAATAAAATTGCAATGAGTGAATAATGAAAACCATGGAAGTGAAATTTTCATTTTAAAAATAATATGAGAAAAACTCATTCGAATGTGAATAAAAAAAAATAATAACAAATTACAAATGAAAAGTGATGAACAAATTTAATGAAAAAAAAAATGTAAACGAGCAAAAAGTCACAACCTTAACTTGTACAAAAAATTTAATTTCATTGGAAATTGATCAAACAACAAAGGTACTAGGATCTATTTTTTATTTAATTTTATTGATTATTAAAAAGGTTTTTTTTGGATGATAATTGTCTTCAATTAAAAGTGCTGTCGTCTGGAAAGTCTGTGTCAAGTTAACAACAATCTTCATGCTTTCATGAATGAGCTCTGTCATTGCCATAGTCATAATGATAAGTAAATGTTGCTCGGTTTCTATAAATAAAAATCGTGAAGAGTCGGTTACTGAAATGTATTTAATCCTCGTGACTTTTGTCTTATTTGTGTCAAATTTCTTTTTGATGAAGTCTGTTTGCTATTGAGGTAAATTATAAAGTAATTGAACAAGGAAACGAGAGCTTTTAATGCTTTTTTGTTGATGTAAAATGGAAAATTTCATTGCTAGAGTAAAGCTTCTGTGGCTGAGCTGAAATACGAAAATTTATTTGATTTTGAAAAGGATTTTTCATTTAACTGTTTTTAAAATTCAAATCTTATAACTGCAGAAATAAATTTAAATTTCTGAACACCCCTAGAACAATTTTCACAACAGTAGAATTATTTAAAATTTCTGAACGCACGCATCGCGTGTTTTTCATATGAATTAAGAATCATTAATTAAAGCATAAATAAATGTTGTTTAAAATTTCTAATTATTCAAGAGGCTAATAACGCAATGGACCTAAGCGAATAAAACAAACAAGAACTCTCTACGATTTCTGGTTAATGAGATCTCAGATCTCAATTTTTGTCATTTCCGAACGAACGAACAAAGGGAATTATTAAGCCACCTCTTAGCTTGAAACTTAATCAACAACAACTCCCTTTAGCAATGCTATATTTCAATGACTCAACCTTGCAAGTCAGTCTGCCTCATAATCCTCCCCTTCAGAAAAAAGTACAATCTAATTAACACCAAATCAAACAAAGATAAAGCCAGTTGCAAAAGCTCTTTTACCCTTGAAAAAACAAATGTGTTGCTAATTTGACATTACAATTTATCGAGGGGAATTTCATCAACTTCCAAAAAAAAAACTCATAGAACCGGAAACAATACGAATTTCATCATTCAATAATACAATCAGCTTATTTGAGGATTATGAATATGAATCATACAAGTCTGTAAAATGAATTTACATTCAACCCTCACTGCGACTTGTGTCGTTATCATATGCGAACTGTGCTTATCAATAATTCAGTACTTTTTTCTCACTTTCCATTCTCATTTCTATTCCCACAATATTGCCGTTCAAATAAAACTTTTTACAGCAAAAAAGGAAAATGGCGAAAGCAAAGCTTGAATATTAAGTAATAATCGATTCAATGAACATACTTAATGTCATCTGGGGTGATTTTTCAAACGAAAAATAAATTTTGTGTCTTTGGATCCTTTTTTGTTTGTAATCAGATCTAGAAGATGGAATCTCGAAAAATTACTTTGATACCTTTCCAGTTTTCTCATTTTGGCAAGAAAAAATTTTCTCGATGGAACCTTTTCTGCTTAACATTTTCAGTTCTGCGAATGGTTTTTATGGTGAAACTTTGTGCTGCCTATTTTCTTTCTTTTTGGTTGATTGTTGTATTTATAGACTGCTGTTTGTGGTGTTGGGAATTTTAGGAAATTCTGAAGTTCTGAGGGATTAATTCTGCGTGACTAGCTATTCCAGTTTCATTCAATGTTCTAAAAAGCTTTCATTTTTGAAAAATGTTTGATGATTTCTTGGAAACTAATGTTTGGAATTGATCAAAATGGTCGAAATTGATCGAAATGATTAAATACGATTCAAAACTGAATAGAATTTACTGAATTCGGTTAGAAATAAACCTCTGAGTTTGAGTTCCAATCGATTTTCTGCA